CACTCCGAGTTTGTTGGCGATGTCCATTTTGCTCTATGAGTTCATGGTGACCTAACCCTAACCCTAAGTGGAATTTTCCTCCTATGGGATTTTCCCATGTATTTTACCAGGAAACAGAGATAGGCCAGCCTAGAAAAGTCAGTGCCCTCCTAACCATACCCAAGCCCTCCGAATGTGTTGGCAATGTCCATTTTGCTCTATGAGTTCAAGGTGACCTAACCCTAACCCTAAGTGGAATTTTCCTCCTATGGGATTTTCCCATGTATTTTACCAGGAAACAGAGATAGGCCAGCCTAAAAAAGTCAGTGCCCTCCTAACCATAGCCAAGCACTCCGAGTTTGTTGGCAATGTCCATTTTGCTCTATGAGTTCATGGTGACTTTAGCCCAGGACCTTAAACACTACATCCAACTGGCTCTTTAGACTGGGAACTGGGAAAATATTCCAGAAAGAGGGAGTGACAAACTATTTTTGAAGTGTTGCTAAAAAGGCAAGAACCACCTTCTATGTGCTGTTATTAAACACTCTTCTTTTTGTCTTTGCAGGCACCAGGAGAAGTCATGAACACTCTGTGTGGATACCGGACACTAAATCAAGAGGTAGCAACCGAAATTCATTGGGCTGAGTTGAATGCCAAACAGCAGTGGGCAGGCAGGGAGATGGGGGGTTACAAAGCGTGATATATATATAAAGAAAGAAAGAAAGAGATGCTTTGGGAGTGTTACTGCTGAGCTCCCCATGGAGCAGAACTGCCCTGGCTTAGGATGGCGCCTGAGGTCAGGCAGCCCTTCTTGCTGCGGTTACTATGGCTGAAGATCCAAAAGCCTGAGGGGCACGCCCAGAGATGGCAGGCCTTGGGCAAGACCCAGTCCAGTGCCAGGTCTTCTGAGCAGCCCACCACCTATAGAACCAGTCTCACTCACCCTTTTAATGGTCTGGCGGGGTTTTTCCTCCTTCCTTTTGGAGAAAAGGGTAAGCGTTGGAACTTTAAAACAAACTGATAACCTGCCAATGAATGCTTCATCCCATATTCCCTGGTGTTGGTCAGAAAGTGCTGACCTAGAAACCAGGAGACGATGAATCCTAGTCCCTCTTTAGGCCTGAATGCTGGCTAGGTGACCTTGGGCCAGTCTCTCTCTCTCAGCCAAGCCAACCCCAGGATTACAGTCTCAGTCATTTTTGGGATCACCACAAACTGGATAATCTCCCAGTGCTATCCCATCTACAGCCGTACTGGCTCAGTTAGGTGTGTTGCAGGTGATCCTCCAGTGAATGACCCATCGACTGCTCAAATTTCATGGCTAGGGATAGTCGCTTGGCTCGGATTCCTAATTTAAGCTCTGTTTGGAGGTTGATTAGACATCGACTACAGCCTGGATCTATCAGAACTTCTAATTCAGTTTGGGCCCCTGTTTTAGGCGCTATACGTTTAGCAGGGATGGTGAAAGGAGGGATGGCGTGACTTACCATTAGATCGCTCTCGCCTTCACCGTCACTGTCATAGGGGGCTGGTAGTTGATGGCGTTCAGCCGGAGGTCTCTCTCTCACCCTTGGGGGGGAAGGAGACCTCGAAGGGTTGGCTTTGATGTGCCCAGCTCGATTTCTCTCGGCCTCTCCGTTGTGGTTTTTTCGGTTTCGATGTGGTGCCTGGGGTGCTCTTCTCCTGGGGAACCGGCGCTAGGCATTTAGCCGCCTGCATTCAGTCGCCCGGTGTCCTTGCTGGCCGCACCTGAAGCACTTGATAGGAGGGCCCGTAGGAGCTTTGGAAGCATTGGTCACTGAAGCTCCCGCTGGGCATCGTCCAAACGATATGGTGGATTCACACAGCATAATCTGGTTACCAAATTAGCCCCTTAGCACTAGGTAAACTCACCAAACAGCTCGGTTTACCCAACATGCTTAATCACATACTCCTATAAAGATTTGCCTGACCACCGTACTAACTTTGTTAGTATTGTAGAAACCGGTATGTTGGGTAAATTTGGGGGTACCTGTTGGATTTCAGTCATTCTTTAACATTTCCATCAGTCAAATGTAAGAGCAGAATGTATGACTGGAGTTCTAAATGCCAATGACTTGTGCCAGGATGAGCGGAATCATGTCATTAATTAGCAATTTATTCTTTCTGTAGCGACTGGAGCTGGTGAGCACCATCCACGTACGCGGCTGCATCCATGCAGTGAGCTTTTGGTTCAAAGACAATTTTGAAGCCACTTTAGCGATTGTTTGCTCTTTGCTCCTCCCTCAGGTAAAGATCCATTTTGTTCTCTGAGGGTTGTTTAGGGGGGGCCTGCATTTTGCCCATGAAAAGGCAGCAGAACCCAAGAAATGCCAGAGCCTAATCCTCCCATTCTGGTTTGGTGTTGCAGTTGATTGGCGAAGACCCCAGTAATTCCAGCCAACCCATAGGACAGGATGGCCATGTTCTAAGAAGTCCTTTAACAGGTCTCCCCTGTCTTCTTGCAGGTCTTCGGCTTGGTGATGGCCTGGCTACATTGGCAAAAGCTCAACGAGATTCATTCCCAAATGGACACTGTGGACTTCAAGCAACTAGACTGGAGCAACTTCAATTTTGCTACTCTGGACCTCACGGGGGCCGGTTGGTGCTGGTGTTTGCCTCGAGAAGGCGGCTACATCCCAGTCTGTGACAAAGACGATGGGAGCGAGGTGGAGACTGCCATTAGCCACGGCCAAGTGTGAAGCCGTTAGGTGGCCGCAGTGCCCATTTCAGAGAGACTGGTCAATGCCAGCCTGCCAAAAGAGCTGTGGTTTGTTAAGCAAAGAGATTTGTGGGCATTGTGCTTTGCCTTCTGAAATGTACACAACTACTCAATAATTGTTTTTGCATACTAGGTTGCGTTTAAAATTCAAGTAGGTTTTTTCCAGTTTTGAGACTCTTAACTTTTAATACCTTTTTTATTTTTTTAAAAAACCCTGAAATGTAGAAGCTTTTTCGTTTTATAGTTTTTACATTTTAGAAATTTAGTAAAAAAAAAGAACTTTTGTACACCAGATCATTAAAATATTACCCTGCATTTTTCTATATATTATCTAGTAGATGGTCCAATTTTTTACACTTGTTTCAAATTTAATTAGTGCTTTAATTAAAAAAAAAGTCTCTTGACGACTTTAAAGCAGTTTCTTCACTACAAAAACCCAACCAGTCAAGAATCTTGTAATGCAGACATTTCCAGTTCTTTCCATTTTACAGACTGCAGTCCTAATATCACCATCAAAAAATTCTGAGGATGACTGTGAAAAGCAAGGAATTGACAGATAGGTAATGATATATGTGGATGTCCAAAATAAAATAAATCTTATGTTTCCATCTGAAAGATTGCAAAACATCCACAGATGTGGCAATCCCACATTTTTTGACCCTTTGAAAATTAACCTTTATTCTGGCTCTCTCCCAGAGTGTTTACATGAGATGGTGGACCTGGGCCACGATGTGGCGTCCTGTCACCAATCAGATGCACCTTAGTGACCCTGCTGTGGACAAGCAAAGGATCTACAATGAACTGTTATTAGAGGATAAAGTGTGTTACCTTTACTGAGCAGGAGCAGAGTGCCTGAAAAGGAGGTGCATTCTGCATTAGTGAAAATTTCACAGCAACATAGGCTGTTAAACAAATATCTTCCTTAGGAAATGCACTCATTTTGAAAAAAGGCCTGTGTTGACGAGGTACAGAAACTCTTGTAAAATCTTGTTCTTTTCTAGTCATGCTGCTTTTGAATTTTGCTGTATATATTCTTTGCTTCTGTTTTTCATGATTTGTATAAGCCCCGATTTGTAATCCGGATACCTTGAGAGTGTAGTGACTATGATCGATTTTGACTAATCAATTGATTGATTAAATAAATAAATGGTTGGACATGGATTGGAGTTGTGTTAATCTTTGGCAGCAAACACAGCCTCTTTTGCATCCACAGAGACTTACCAATAAGTGGATAGACACCCTCCCAGACCACAGTTCATGTCATCCCACGTGTGGAAAGTAGTCCCGAGTGCATCAAGAGAGCCCATCAAATGGAGTGCTAGTTAAGGCACCAGGCAAGAAACTGGGAAACAGTCTGTTCTACGACCACAACTGAGCCCAAAATTTCTGTTGCTAAGCAAGACAGTTGTGATTTTGCCCCATTTTATGCCCTTCCTTGCCACAGTTAGGTGAATCACAGCAGTTGTTAAGTGAGTAACATAGTTATTGAAGTAAATCTGGCTTCCCCATTGACTTTGCTTGTCAGAAGGTCGCAAAAGAGGATCACACGACCCTGGGATGCTGCGACCGTTGTTACTATGAACCAGTTGCCAAGCACCTGGATTTTGATCACATGACCCTGGGGATGCTGCAACAGTCGTAAGTCTGTGAGAAACTGTCATAAGTCACTTTGTTCAGTGCCGTTGTAATTTCCAACTGTCACTAAATGATGTGTGGGGTGAGGCCTCTGTTTGCCAGGCTTCCCTCGTATTTGCTCATTCAGATCATTCAATGAGGACCGAAACAGTTTGGCTAAGGCACTTTCATCCCTGCAGCTAACAATCGTAACCCATCCAAGACCTAGAAACAAATTCTGCTTAGTATCTTTATCAGCTATGGGATAATTGGCTGCTTGAAATTGGCTGTGCATTAAATGGGTCAGAATTTGTCTAAACACACACATGTATGAGCATGAGAACCATCCCATGATCCAGTTCCTTGCTGCTCTGAAGGGATCAATCCACATCATGTCACACACATTTCAATAGAGAAGCTGCTGCAATCTTTGTGGGTCAATACTATCCCAGCATCCATTGGCCTCTTGCTGACTCTGCCAGCTGTCCAGGACTTAGTGGGATCCAAAGCATGCAGCTGGCCAGATGCTGACCGAGTCCCCTGAATGTAGTCTGGAGCATTTCTTGGGAAGGTTCAACTGTAAGTACATTATCTGAACCGTTCAGAATTCTTTGTAGGCCTGTTGAGAAAAAGAATGCCTCAAAGGGAGAGGCTTCCAAAAAAAAGAAGTTATCATAGATGGAAGAAGGTATTCAGCTGTACTATTTGTAAAAAATAGTGTGAATTTTTGTTCCATTTTTAAAGTATGCTTATAATACTAGAGCCAGAATTCTACTGCGACGTTTTTTTTAATTCATTGAGTTGTGACTGAAAGGCATTTATTTAATTTAAGCTGTGGTGTGTAACTTATAAAAAAACATGGTTAAGCAACTTACTGTATTCATTGGTGGCAGTTTTAATATATATTCCAGGTTTAATAATAATAATGATAATGATAATGATAAAGTTGGAAGGGACCCTTGGAGGTCAAGTCCAACCCCCTGCTCAGGCAGGAAACCCTATATACCATTTCGGACAAATGGCTGTCCAGTTTCTTCTTAAAAACTTCCAATGTTGGAGCATTCACCGCTTCTGGAGGCAGGTTGTTCCACTGGTTAATTGTTCTAACTGTCAGGAAGTTTCTCCTTAGTTCTAGGTTGCTTCTCTCCTTGATTACTTTCCATCTGTTGCTTCTTGTCCTGCCCTCAAGCGCTTTGGAAAATAGCTTGACTCCCTCTTCTTTGTGGCAGCCCCTAAGATATTGGCACACTGTTTAATATACTTTAATATAAATCTACTTTTGACCTGACTGTAATAAGACCACATTTTCTCTTATTTTTCTCAGTGTGCAGTAATAAACAGCCTGTAGATGCCAGAGGGAGAGACCAGTGTTGGGTTTAGCTTAGTCCCTGTCAAAGTGACTTTGGAAGGGATTGATTTTTCTGCCATGAAATGTGACCATATCTTTCCCAGTCGCCCATAAAGGGCATTTGGGAAATTAATATGCATTGAAATAAGAGAAAATACTTGTAGCTCGGGTTTTAGATTTTGGCAGCGATTTGTTCTTCAAGCTTGTTTCAATTTAGTGTCTGAAGGCTAATCAGGCACCATGGGCATCCTGAGTCCAGCAAGGCGGTGAGGGGGCCCCCCTTACTCCGGAGGAGGGCACCAAATTCCCCACCCAGATCATCATAGGGAGGATGGAGCCACTTACCATCAGGTCGTCTTCCCCTTCAGTGTTGCTCTTGTAGAAGACCAAGCCAGGCTTGTCGTGGGCCAGAGTTCCCTCCCCTTTGCTGGATTGGGGACCTGTTGACCATGTTTTCTCCTTGGCTTTGCAGTTGTTTTTTTGGCTTCAGTTGGGCCGGGGCTTGCAGTGCAGATGCCGGCCGTGGTGCGAGGCAATCAGCAGCTCAATGGCCTTCCTTCCCACATCAGAAACACCTTCCCAGGCTCCGGCAGGGTGTCTCCCCGTGGCAGGAGGTGCACTGCCTCTTCCTCCACAGGGCGCTGGGCATCTCTTGGCCATTCAGCGGGGCCAGTTCTCATGTGCAGTGTGCTCCCGGTACTCCATCAGGTCGAGCTCCACATTTGTGGCTAACTGGTACCACCCTTGAAGGTCATGGGGCACCTCCCAGAGCAGGCAGTTGTGATACAGCTCCTTGTTCATCCCCTCCCGGAATTGGTAGACCAGCATACGCTCGGGCCAGTCTCTCAGGCTATGAAAATCTTGGATGTACTCTGCCACTGGCCACTTGGTCTGCCCCAAGCAGCGGATGCGGGTCTCTGCATGCCGGGCTGCTGTGGGGCTCTTGAATCTGTCCTGCAACTTCTGCATGAAAGCGTCCAGCCATCCCACTGCAGGACTTGGGTTTGGCTAGTCAGGATCAAAGGAATCAAACTCCTGGCAGTCTGAGCAGAGTTAGCCTGCAATACAACATTCTAACCGCTGCAGCACCATGGTTCATGTATAATTGCATTTTTTTTCTTATTTACATCTTAAGTACTCATTTTCTTCACTTTGCAGAATCCTGCGTCTTCCAAAAGGAATGGTATATTGAGTAATTATTTCTCGTTAATCTTTTCATTGCTCCTTATTTCATTTTTTTTTTGCTTTTAAAGTAGTGAATTACTAATTTATCACTAGCTGTATTAGAATTTCATTATTATTTAATAATTTTTTTATCTTTAAATCTATGATAGCATTTACTGGTTGGCCATAATGTACGAGAATGACACCCTGGGCGAGAGATGCCTCAGCACCTTCAGAATGCAATATGATGATGAAGAGGGTAAGGTGACCCGTTTCCCCAGTGCTTCTCCCTGATTCGGGCAGTAGATTCTTCTAGTGTGGCACAATGATTTTTCCATTTCTGATGTCATACTTCCCTTGGGCATGGAATATGTCCCTCATTTCCCTTACGTACTTCCCTGAGTAAAATATCATTTAGATGTTTTACTTACATGCGGTGCTTTTTTTGTTAAAAAAAAAAAGGTGCCAGAACTTACACACGTCATACAACCCGCCTTGCCTACCCTACAAGGTTTACCTTTGTAGTTGAAAAAAAAACCCTTCAATTTTTAATGTATCTAAAAAACTAGGATTTTGTTCAAGGTAAGTTGATACTATCAATGTTACCATGCACTGTGTGGCTTTAAATTACAAGAAGGCATTTTATTAATCTTTTGGGACATTTACCACTGGCACACCCATTTAGTTTAATGAGTGGAAATGTCAGCTTTCTATGTGGAATGAAATTGGCCCAATAAAACAAAATTTGGTTGCTTGTAAAAGATTGAATTATTTTTAAGAAGTTGTCAAACTATCAGAAAGGCATATACAGACCAACTCCCTTAAATTCTAAGAGCCAAGAGATGCAGTTGTTACATTATGCCATGCCCCCATTTACATGACTTTCACAAACCTATCCATTCATCTCCCTCCCTCTGTTAAAGTACTGAGGTTTGCAGATGATACAACAGTCACTGGTCCCATTCGAGATGGTGATAAGCATACAGACAGGAGGTTGAACTCACCTTGTGGTGTATCCGGAACAATCTGGAGCTGAACACACTTAAAACTGTAGAGTTGATATGGGATTTTAGGAGGAGCCCCCCTATTCTACCACCTCTTACAATATTTCACAACGCAGTATCAACAGTACAGAACTTCAAGTTTCTGGGTTCTATTATCTCCCAGGACTTGAAATGGACACCTAATATTAGAACATCATTAAAAAGGCACGACAAAGAATGCTCTTCCTGCCATCAACTCAGAAAGCTCAGACTGCCCAAGGAACTGCCGATACAGTTCTACAGAGGAATTATTGAGTTTGTCATTTGTACCTCAATAAACTGTCTGGTTTGGCATTGCAACCAACCAGGACAGGTATAGGCTTCAATGGATAGTTAGGATTGCAGAAAAAACAGTTGCAACCAGCCTGCCTTCCACTGAGGATCTATATACTGCATGAACCAGAAAGAAGGATGAGAAAATATCTACAGACCTCTCACATCCTGGAAACAAACTGTTTCAAATTCTTCCCTCAGGATGTCGCTCTAGGGCATTGCATGACAAAACCAGACACAGGGACAGTTCGCCCCTTCCCCCCGCCCCGTGCCATCACTCTGCTGAACACCCAATTCCCACAGCAATGTCTTGTGTCTAAAGGATATTTACCCATGTAGTAGGGCTGGATTACTATTATCCTTCTCATCTTTACTACTACCTTCTCCTATTGGCATCTTATGATTACATTACTTTGTTGTTGGTATGTACATTGAGAGCTTATGCATTGGAGACCAATTTCTTGTCTATCCAATCACACTTGTCCAATAAATATTCTGTTCTGTTCTGTTGTTCTATTCTTGGGAGACTATTTTAACACACTATGTATGCTGTGTGGTATTTTTATGAATGGGGAGCCTTTTCATTCACTCTCTGTGTGCTGCTTGGCTGTCTCCTCTAGCAGATTATCATTCCATTTACATTGGGCTACCAAGGCCCCATAGCAACCAGAAAAAAAGACGCAAAAGGAGATCCTCCTTCAGCCAAGATA